TTTGACAGCTACAACTACCACTATTTTCAACAGTATGACGTTCAGTGTGTTGAAAATAAAAGCAGATCAGCAGCACTCTTGACAAGGCAAATATTGTTATACACAAGTCGCCTTGTTTCCCATTCACACCGTACTACTAATGTTACCCTCCTTTCCAACTGTACTATGGACCAAAGACGATTTGCAATAGATGCCTTTCAAAAACACTATCAATACTGGCTTCACCACTATGACTCTTATGACTTACATATCCTTTTAAACATATTTCACCTTCGGTAAAACCAGTAATTCATAAAAACAAAGGCGTTTCTCAAAACGGACTAGTAGCTACAGTCGCCATCGTCAAAACATTTTACCCAGGTGAAAACAACCAAGATTTTCAACAATGTCCTTTTGCTTGCTTTATTTCATGGTTCCCAACAAGTATATTTTGAACTGAAAACTTTTCCCTTGCTTTCAAAATACAAGTTTATTCAGCTTTCGTTATCTAAAGCCCACATCCATAATATTTCAAAATATATACTCGTATCAATAGAGAATTGATATAAACACTCGACAACACAAACAGCCATTAAAAATATGCAATGATGGACTCGAGACTTTCCTATGCTATTCTGGAAAAGGAATGAATTTTACAAAGAGTGCGAATATCGTTCGTTTACACTATAAAACCTGTTGCAGAGTTACAGACCAAGTTTTCCATCTTGAAAGAAGTCACATAAAAGACAAAAACTATCATACGGAAAGTAACTCTTTATACTGACCAAAACACTCAACTAAGTGTCTAACTGGTTTCTTGAAAAACATCTTTGAAATATGAACACAAGACTGATTCTCAACGACCGACTACAAGACTAGACTGTCAACTGCTAATAAATACGCAAAAATGCTCTGTAACAATTATCAGTAAAAACTAAATCTAAATGAACTTGCGAGACAACTAATTGAGTAATGTAGTTAAACTCAACAACAGCTTAAACTCTTCTGTCTTTGCTCTTTTCTTGACAATACAGCTCACAGATTTCCATACAAGACCAGAAGTAAAACAACAACAAGTCTTGCATAAAGTATGTAAAATTCAAATAGATAGTCAATGTTGTACATATCAAAAAGATACTACAGTCTATCCGGAACTCAGAGCTCAAGACGACTCGATGGATTTTTATAAAGGAATGAACTGCAAGGCTTAAAAAAGAAACGTAGATAATAGAAGTCCACTTGTCCAACTAAAACAAAGAACGAGTTGGAAATTAAAGTCGGAAAAGTTTCAGAAGTAAACTTAACCAAGTTCACAGCCTTAACAACACTGGCCCTTCTTAAACTATTGTGTAATTTCCAGTTGGACTATGATGAGAAGAATCGCTATGTATTGTCTCCTTTCCACTGGAGGTATAGTATCTTGCATGGCTAGTGAGTTTTATGAAAGAAACTATTTTACTTGGAGACTTGGAAAATGCTACTTTAATAATAAATGTGCTGAATACAACCAATCTCACACCACAGTAACGTTGTGAAAGGAGAACAATAGTGTTGTAACAAAGTTCCTGTCAATTTACTATCGACAGTGTACCTTTTAACAGAGTTGAGTTTGACAAAACTTATTTGTAAGGTGAATTTCAGACTTCCTGTGAACCTCTATTGATGACAAATCAAAAAACGGGTTTTGCTATAACCAGTTTTCGACTCGTTCTCAATCTCAGAATCTTCCTTTGTTAGCCTCTCAAAACCTTGGAAAACTGCTTCACAATGTGTAAAATGGTCGTTTTCCAGTTTCAGTAGAAATAATTCTGTTGGCTTTCTGTGTAAGAACCATAGCCTTTCCTTCTACGCAAAATAGGCTCAAGGAATAGTCTTTGTACCACTGTGAACTGCAAAGAAGAAATAATCTTATATCCAACACTAGAGTTGGAAAGTATAGAGAGGACAAGGCTACAACAAAAAACTGACAAAAGGTTGGGAATACTTTTGACTATACACAAATTCGTACATAAACTACTTGCGATAAGGAGGATCGAACCTCAAAAGTTACAAGGGTCTCGCATTGTTCTCTTCATAAACAACTTGTAGAGAGTTTTGACTGTTACAAGAGTAAAAGTGGTGACGCTTTCGCTTCTCCTTGCACATATATTTCAAGATTCACCTTTCTTTGTTACTTTGCAAAGAGGAGATGAAAGATTCTTACTTTTCCATTATTTCTACGTTTATATTCCTTTCTTTTCACTAGTAGACGAAATTGATCCAGTATATTTAAGAGAACAAGACCTTTACCAGTTTGGATAACAACCAAAATATCATTTAAGATTTGACTCTGCAGAAGAATCAGATAAATTGTTTTATCTTATTCTGCTGAATATTGCTTGCGAGTTGAAAATATTTTTATTCTCTGTAGAGCAACTTGGATAAAACAGCGTTTCGCTTCTTTTTCAAGTTTAAATTGTCCCTAGTAGAAATGAACATTCCTTCTATTTGATTCTCGTTACCAATATCCAAAAGGAAGCCTCTACTAGTGTACCCATCAGGTTATATACTTCGCAGGAGTCTTCTTCCAAGTGCCTAACGCAAGGAACTTTTGTATAGTGACTCACTTATTCAACGAGCTGATGGTTGAGATTGGAAGAAGAATAGGACTCAACTGGACAAATCGTTCTTTGAATTTGCAGAGCTTTTAAAAGTTTTACCTTTTTTTATATTGGAAGAGATAATAGCTCTCTTGGAGTTATATCGTTCCTAAAGCAGCTTTGTACTTTTTATAGTTTGCTTTCTTGTATATCTTTACAAGTTGTGGTTTTTACAAAGTTTATCGTACAAGAGGATGCAGCAAAAGCCTTTAAACCTAACAGTCATGTTTACCTTCAAAAACACCTCAAATGTATAGTCGACTACTGAGGAGAAGGAATTCAACTATGATTCAAATGATATGCAATGACAAGATACGAGAAGAGAGTCGCTAGAATAGACTCAATTCGATTGAATTGAATTTTTCTTGAAAATATCTTTTCTCCTCTTAACAGAATCCACAGTATCAAATGCCACTATTTTCAGAGGAGAAAGAGACAGGAGTTATTGACTCTTACAGAAATTGAGTATTGATGATACACTTGTGTGAGTCAATGTTGTTTCTGAGATTTGATAAAACCACGAGATATTTTGGATCCTTCTTTGTACATTTATTTTGCTTTTGTCTTTTGCTATCATCAACTTTTGTAGCTTTAGTGATAAGCTGCTACTTGTCATGATATCGTAAGAAAGGAATTTGATGATTGCTGAGAATAAAGCAGTGCTGTGCTTGCGGGTTTCTGCATTTCTACTAAATAATATATTTCAACTGGAGCTTTTGAATAGACTGTACAAGAGAATGACTTGGTTCATACTCTAGTTCCGTGTTTCGAAATGAAGCAAAAGTGACGTAAAAACTGTTCCATAAAATACAGAAAATCTAGAGAGAGACGTCTATGGAACAAATTCTTCATGAACAATCTATATTGCTTGGAACTCTCATGACTACTCTCGAAAATTCTGAAAGAAACTTTCTTATCTATGTGAGAATGGGCCATGTTCAATAGCTTTATACTCTCAAAGAGCATAAAAAACTTGTGAAATAAACATTGGCTTTCTTCTAATCCTTCTTGTACCCTTTGAGAGTTAGCATTATATTAGCATACGAGAATAAGAATATCGATAGTTGAAAAAGCCATATTGATCGTTCTTCCATAGTTGTAGTCATCTCAGTCCAAGCCATAAAGGGTATGACATAGTCATCAGTTGATAAAGAGAAGAAGTTGGATTGGTATCCTTTTTTGTTTTTTTCGATTGACTTTTTGTTGGTGACCGCCACACAGTCATTCGTTTATTTATATTTGTACTCCGAAATAAACAGAAGATTGTTTAATTTCTCTTTGGCGATGGCGAGTTTGGATGACAAGTGGGAAGCTGTGGACAACTTTGAGTCTGTTGTGGTAGATCGTGAAAGAGATGTTTTTCGAGTGACAGAAGAACTGTATGATCTTCATAGCGGCCGAGAGCAACTCAGGGGTGTAACAAGTAGTTGCGACTATCGCTTGACCATACCATTTGCCCCCCATCTCTTTGGCTCGGGCAAAACGACCTTTGCCCGAACCTATTTGGAGTTGGTGCAAAGGTTTGGTGAAACTTTTCTGTCGACGTTTGCTTCGGACCCTTCCAGGAGAACCTTTTTTTTGGAGCTGCTGAAGAGGGGTTTCATTGCTTTATTTTGCTTTGATTTAGTTGGAGTTGACTCGACCCATCGAGGAAGAACGAAACCTTGAGTGGGCAGTGTACTATTTGTTAATCAAGGCTGCTTGTTTGCAATCAGGTCTTCCGCAACCAGACCCGGACGAATGTTTCAAGGAACTGAAACTTAGGAGTGATGCTTTGGTTCAGAAAATCCGTTCAATCTTAAACATTCCTTCTGATCAATATCTTTTTGTGGCATTTGACGAAGTTGGTGTGTTTGATAGAAAGTCTACTTTGATTTTCATTTGAGGAGAATGATGACGGTGTGGTTCGACCTTACAATGACTTTTTCGGTATCATTAGTCAATTGTGCGAAGAACCCGACTTGTTTTTTATAGTTGTTGGGAAAAGCAAGGGTTTAAGTATTAAGAATTATGTCTCTTTTGGGCTATCAAGAGTTATACTACATTTTATTTCTTTATCACCTTTGGACGCTTCCAGTATCGTTGAATTCCTTGAAAAGAGTCTTCTAAAGACACCTACTCAAGTTCCGGTTTGTAATGTCTTATGTAGTTCTTCATTTTCAGTAAATGAATTGGCAGATTCATTATTGGAATGTACAGGTGGAGTTCCTGGTTTGTTGACTCGTGCAGTAAATATGCTTTTGAATTATATAATAGCAAGAAATCAGCCTTTCATATCGAAAGAAGAATGTTTGACTTGTATGAATGACTACGATTTCCGAAGAATTTGTGCTGAACCATTTGTGGAACGAATATTTAATTTGGACGAAGATAGAAGAAGTGTTTTTGATTTACTTTTGATGATGGCTCTTTATCGTATACCGTTTCAAGTAGATGATATATTGACCTCGGAGTCCTTTTTATATGATGCAGTCACTGAAATGGGATTCTATCGATATCCTATTGACGAGAATACTTTTCAAGTCCTAATTCCGAAAGTATTTGTTGTAATCTTCAAGAACGACCCTTCCATCTCTTCTTTGGAAAAGATACTTCTTGGATCACTTGATGTCGAACCAGTAGATTGTTTCTTCTATTCAAAGTGTCGTGTATTTGAAGGAATTGTTGCTTTACGACTAGTTTTGATGTTGTCTTCAAAGAATCGAAATGAGTTGAGGGAATTGTTGTGTCAGTTGTCTCCTATATGGAAACAAATGAAACTTCCAATGAGTGCAATATCACCTATTCACTATATCAAGTCTGTTGTTAGTTCTAGAGAAACAAGAAATGAATCGAACAAGAGTCGAAGAACTTTTGCCAGTACTGAATGGAATAAGATTATTCGGGAGACACTTTATTTAGAGACTGTTTACATTCCTTTGGACGCTACTTCTCATAGTCCTGATATTATATTCCAATTACAATCTCCTGTGGAACCCAAAGTTCTTACTGTTGGAGTTGCTTGTAAAGGACGTTGGAAGTCGGAAGGAATTGGCTGGTCAGATATTATAGATGAAGCCAAGAAATTTTTAGATCCTGTTTATGATCAAGTCTTATCCAGTGCAATGGATTATCATCATTGTATGCTTATTATCGTTAGTACAAAGTTATCATTGAATGTTTCTAATGAGTTGGGTAATCAGAGTCGTTGTTACTCCAGTGGAATGTTTATTGGAGGTGATTTTTTCAAAGTACCTGATAATTGTGAACTTGTTATTCTTTGTGAAAGAGATGTCCAAATGCTGATTGACGACGAAATTTTGAATGGACTTGAAAGAGCGTTTGGTGTTTCTCATAATCCTACTTTTTGGGATTTTGGATTAGATTTACTTGATAGAATCCGTAACAGTTTCTTAAGTTGGCAATAGATTCTAACTCAATCCTTTTCTTTGTTTTGAAGAGCAAATGAACTATTTTTTGTATGTTTGAAACTTGGTTACATCTTACTTTTTTGCCTCTTTGGAGACCATACATTCTTTTCCGAAAAGAGTTTATTAGCTGGCTGACAGGGCTGGTTCACAGTAGTTCATTCTTATCTAGCCATTTTACATGGCTATGTAATTGCATAATACATTCTGAATATTATCAATACTAAACATACGACAATTGTATTCAATAAGTTGAGTCATTTTTGGTGTCTATGACAATAGATTGGCTATTTTGAAGCAATTGTAGAAAACTTTGTTGGGAAAGGCTCTCAAGTCATGAAAAAGTCCGTATTGGAGAAACAGAAAACTCTATATGACACCAGAAAGCGCTTTGTCTTTGCTCCAATTGTTTTAGAATCTCACATTCTTTCTTCTCTTCTACGTATGAATGGAATATTTGTTGAAATTGAAACGTTTCTAAAATGTTTCGATTTTTCAGCATAGTCTCACAATGGATGACTTCAAAAGGCTGTTGGATCAGTTTGTTACCAAAATAGATCGCTATGGAAGCTTGAGACACGTTGATAATGACTCAATTTGAGCAATGGAAAGTTATACAACAAAAAACTTTTTATTCAAAATAAAATGCAAGGCTTAAACTATGGTATTTTACTTCTCAACTTTGGAAACTGTGAAGGTTCTAAAACAAACCTTCATCAGCCAGAGACCCGATGTGATTGGGTGAGCACCCAAGTTTCCATAACCAAGCATAAACTTTACCTTTCTGAAAGGTAGAATGAGTCTTCAACTAGATTAGGTTTGATAGAACCACAAGTTGGCGGACAAAAGGTTGTAGATTGTTGTGCAAACTTCAAAGATGTAATGATGATGGAACTTGGTTGAATCGATCGAAAGCTGCTTGGTTTTCATATTAACAGAATAAGAAATATTTTATTAGAATCTTTTGTTTGGAATTGTAAGTTTGAAATTCGTTGAACCCTTTAGAGGAGTGGTTATTTGACAAATTGTAAAGGAGAAAGAAATGTAGTCAGATTGAAAAGTTTTTGTAAATTCTGCACCATCAATCGTTTTCAAACAGTTATCTGTCGCAATGATTTAGACAAAAGGTATGTTTCTAGTACCTGGAAAATCTTGTTTGGAAGGAACTTTGCTGAGATGTGGAATGCCCTGGCAGATAGTATTGTTGCAAAAGATTACTATCACATATTCAAATAGATAGTTAGTTATGTATTCTTATCACATTGACATTGTTGCAAGATATTGTATAATTCCATTGCAGTATGTTGTCCACATAGGAATGCTTCTTTTTGAGTCATTGGCTCTAAACGCAAACGTACCTGACTTTGAGTCATCCAGAAACTTTCTTGTGACTACTACTCTCCTCAGGGAATGTTAGGTTGAGTTTTTACTATGGCTACTCCGGTATATTTTGATATATGCAATATTTGGATAGTTAACAAACACAAAAAGTTATAACCTCAAACTTTGCCATTCATTGACTGGGTCTACACACAAGTGCCAAGGATTATATCGAGTCATTGAGTATTAGAAAACATACAAATAGGGACACAATTTACGGGGTAAAGTTTAGAGTACTGTTAAAGTAAAGGAGCTCATAGAGAGAGTATCTCAAACGGTTGCTGAAAGATTGAAAGTTGCAAAGATCGTCCCTTTCCAGATTCAACCCTATAGTTCTCTTCAAATGAAAGTCAACAGTGAAAAGTTATAAGAGTATTCGTTAATAGCACTGTTAGATCATTTATGTTTCTAGTTTCCAAAAAAAGAAGAAGAAGCAGAGCAGTCTTTCTACTACAAGAGCTTAAGTTCCATTGTTTCCTAATTTTTTGTTTTATAATTATCCATTCGAAGAACCCACCACTTGTCATCATAACAAGGTAAATGTCCATCGGCAATCTTACCTAGTTATACAGTATTGAAAAGAATGAGACTTTCTGCCGATTTGAACAACGCTATGTGTACGATTGCAATCTTGCTTTAGCAATGTTATCTTTTTTTGCAAGAGTTTGCTAAATGGGAATGTTTTAAAATCATCTATAAAAAGAATTGTAAAAGGATTGCTCAGATGTTTCTGCTATGATGAGAAACACTGAAATGTAAACTCCTTTCTGTTATAATAGCTTTTTTTGGGCATAGAGACTTTACTGATTTTTGGTACTCTTATAAACCGAAAGTTTGTACACTTTTTAAACTTTTTGTTATTTGTCCATTTTTTGGAAATGTCTCTTTAACAGCTAAAATACTCCTATAGTCAGCATCACCTTGCTTTTTCAGTAAAAACTTTTATCATTTATGTAAAACGATACAACAAAACGACTGGGTAAGATGACTATTGAAATTTTTCTTTTGGTAGAATTCGTGATAAATGAATTAACGATCATCCATAAGGGAATAGATATGAGACATTGAGACAAACTATATAAATACCTATCTACAAGGTGTATCAAAACAACGAAGTCTAGGAAAATCAATCATAGCAAGGAGCAATCTATCTCTGGTCAGAATCTTCTTTAAACGCTCCGTCAACTTATTAACGGGCGTCCTAGTTATCTAATAATATGACCCTTTTAAAGGTGCCAATCTATGAGCAATTCAAAGGCAAATAATAAAGACAACTATGACAAATGGGTAGAAATAGTCACTGGATTTCTTTTGCATGCTATTCTGAGAAATGTCTTTTATGTTCCAAATCTGATCACAAACCTACAATTCGTCTCTTTAAAAAGAGTATCTTACTAAATGAAAACGGACACAACTAAAGTGCCCAAAAATAAAAGGAATAGGATTCGACTAAGAATCTAGTTAAGGTTCCTACAAACTATCTAAAAACG